GGATAAATATATTATTATGTTATGTTTGACAACGTATTTTAATTTATTTTTTAAAATATTTTTTAAGTATTTTTTAATGATTTTGATATTTCAATATAAAAATCATTTTAATTTATTTTTAATTAAAAAAATATTTATCCAAAAGGACATTATACATCATTACCAAATACCCTATTACTCTAATAATCATGTATACTATAGTAATAGAGCTTTGACTAAATTGTCAGTTGCTAGACACGTGCCACTGTTCAAATCATCCAGTGCACATGAAAGGCTCGTTGACTCAGAAAACGACAAAGTCAATGCATTAAACTCTCCCAATCATGGGCCAGTGACATTGACTACAAAGGAACTACGTGTGTTAGTCGAGGTTGGTGGATCCTGGAACCTGATCGATGAGGATGGCGTGCTTTGGATCGGAGACTTTGAGGGCGTTACATTTTAAGCCAGAGATTTGCCCGCCGGTTCGGAAAGGTCTTAGCTGCATCTTGTTTAAGCCTTCACGTTTGGAGACAAATTGCGGTCAATGCTTCAGTCAATGCCTTCGAATTTGTTGACAAATCGATCGGTGCGATTGACATTGTAGACCTCGTGGCAACATGTACTAGCAATGCCAGCTTAATTTCAATGTATTAATCATCGTGGTCGGACGGTGCGGAGATTTATTTGGGCAGACCATTTTGTCTGGCAAGTGAAATAATCAGTCAAGCCCTCATAATTGATTTCGGTAAAAAAGCAAACATTCAAGCGTACGTTTGTTTGTTTTTCAAAAAATTATTTTTGAAAAATTATTTTTAATTATTTATTATTAAAAAAATTGATTGATAAAAATCACTTTCTAATTAATAAAAAATATTTTTCGATTAAAAAAATTAGTTTAATTTTTAGAAAAATATCTTTTTTTATTTATTTTGGACAGAAAATACTTTATAAAAGTTATAAAAAAATTAGAAATGTCATATTATTTACTAATTATATCAAATTTGATCCTCAAATTTTTTATTTTTATATATATTTTATTTTGAATATTTATTTTTCAATTTTATCCCTTAGAATTTAATTTGTATATTAACTTTGGTCCTTATTTTTATAATTGTTATTTTCTTTTTTCTTATTATTTTTTAATTGAATTTTTTTATTTATCAAATTTAGTCCTCATTATTTTTATTGTTACTTATTTCATTTAAAATAATTTATAAAATGTTAATTATTATTATTTTAGTTTCTTCATCTTTTAATTTTTTAATTTGATCTCTATTATTTTTATTATTATTTATTTTATTTGAGATAATTTATGAAATTATATTTTTTTTCAATTTCATTCTCATTCAACTTTTTATTTTGTAAGATTTGTCTCTCATTATTTTAATAAACTTGAAAAAAATAAAATATTAATAAATTATTTTTCAGCTTATTTTTCATTACACTACCAAACATCGAAAAATAATTCACTTTTTCAAAATTCACTTTAAAAAAAAAAAAACTATTTTCCAACAAATAAATGGGGCTTAAAGTCTTTCTATGTAGTTTTTGTGATAATGATTGTTCATTAAAGTGGATTTTTTTTATTAATTATTTTTTTTTGTTTTTTTAAATTTTTTTTTAGAGTATGATTTTTATTTAATTTTATCTTTTATTATTGGATTGATAATAAATTAATTTTTATATTTTTATCATATAGTAAAATAAAAAATAGATAAACTAAGTAGAGTCCATAACACGAGTCGTGGGTTTGGCGGATTTACTCGATATTAATTAAAGAGTCGGGTTGGGATTGTTTTGCCCTTTGTTATATCTTTAGTTTTTCCTTTTCAATTCCATCAATTAGTGCGGGGTTTTTATGGAATTTAATCTTTCAGTTAGTAATAAATTATTATTTTTTTGTATTTTTATCATAAAATAAAATAAAAAATAAAATTGACTCAGTAGAATCTATAACTTGGATCATAAGTTTGATAAGTTTGGTAAATATTAATCAAAGAATCAAGTTGTATTTTTTTGGCCTTTTTGTTTATATCTTTAGATTATTTTTTTTAATTCCATTATTTTGCATGACACTTTTATTAAAGTTTATCATTCGAATATATTTGTCGAGTATTACTGTGCATTATTTTTTTATTTGAAATTAATTTTATATTAATATTTTTTTGTTTCAGAATTAGATGTTATTCTACAATAAAAAATTATTTTTTAATTAAATAAATCATTTTTTAAATGTTATTTCAAATGACTGCAATACATTGATTGATATTATAATAACTTATTTTTTTTCCACTTAATCATAGAAAAAAAAGTGTTTGGTAGAAGAAATAACTTTTGCCTTTTGCATTTTACCTCACTTATAATTGTATATCAAACTTTGATTCTATAAAAGTTGAAATAAGCTGTTTTTTATTCATGAATACTTACTGTTTATTTATTTTTCATACAAAAAATAAATTTCTTAGTAGTTTTAATTAAATATTTATTTTTAAAAACCTAGTTTTTTTAAATTACAATTAAAATTATTTCCTTAAACCTACTTTTTTGAAGTGTAATTGCAAAACTACTATAGTACCAAATAGTGATATGGTATCACAAACACTTCATTTTTAATTATATAGATAATTACTAGGTTCTTGACATGCACTGTGTTATAGGTTAAATTAATTTTATTTTTCTTAACCTAAAAACTGTCCACATTGCAAATAATTATTTGATATTGTTATTAAATCTGATTCAGCAAGTTAACTTTAAAAACTTCTAACTCAACTTCTTACACGACTTGATTTCAAATTAAATCGTATGAGAATTTTCTCGACATGAGTCGGTCAACTCAATAAATTCAAATACAATTTGAATGGCCGATAAAAAATGTGATTTCATTTTAAAAGAAATTTCTAAATGATGTTTTAAAATATTGAGACATTGATATATTATAATGACCCCAGTTTTATGGTTTAACATGTCAAACCTATAACCGAGACCATGAATTTTACCGAGTTTAATAATTTTATTTTTTAAACTATTTGTTATTTAATGATGTGATAACAAAAATAGGCACTTGAAAAATTGAATATTGACCAAATGTTGATATGCTGATTTGAGACTTTGAGTAAAATTAATAATAACAAAAAAAAAGCCAAGAATGATTCATTTGGAAGATGAGATTTTCTTTGAAAAAAATTTGGTATTGTTGTTAAACTCGATCTAATAGGTCAACTTCGAAACTTTTCAACTCAACTTCTTCTTTAACCTATGTTTAAAATTAATTCACATAAAAGTTAACTCTAGATAAATTCATTGGCTTGACAGATCCAAAAATAACTTAGACGATAAGTGAAATTATAATTTAACCTTAAAAAATTTAAAATGATATTTTTTTTAATATTGAAATAGTGACATATTGAAACTCAGGCTCCATAGTTTAACTCGCAAAACTTGCGACCTGTATTATAGACTCTACTAATTTTTAAAACTTTGTTTTTTAAAATTATTTTTATCTAATGATACAATAACAAAAATAAATACTTATAAAAATTGAACATCAATTAACCAAATACAAGGATGTTTATTTAAGAATGCAAAAATATCCTCATAGAAAATAAATCAATAGAACTTATGATGACAAACTCGAAATTAATAAATATTGAAAAATAAAATTAAAATAAAATATTTTAAAAATAGAATTAAAAACAAAAGAACTTAAAAAAAAAACTAAAGTATATGAACAATGAACCACCATAGCAAGTAATTTTTGTAGTTAAAAAAATGTAACAAATTAAAAAGTTGATGCATAAATGTAATCAAATAAACTAAGAATTATGTGTGCTAATAAATAAATAAAATATTAATGACACCTAAAAATAAAACTTGAAAAACGAGGAGATGGATATATATTAAGATATTTAATCTAGAAAAATAGAACATTAAATTGATTGAATAAAATAAAAAGACAAAAGGAATAACATGTAAGACTACAGTTATTAAAAATATCATCTAAAAATAAATATTTTTTATTTTAAAAGATATAATTTATCTATATAAAACGTTAAAACAAAATCCTGGATGAACTAGAAAAACTTCTTCAAAAATTAAACACATAATAAAAAAAATTAATATTATTCAAAAGAGGCTAAAAGAGGAGGTTTTTTCTTTTTTCTAATTTTTAATTTTTTAACTAATCATGTCACTTTATTTATATTCAACTACATTATTTAAAGTTATATTTTTATGGTAATCATGTCAGATTCGAATGCTTTGGATTTTACAGCTATGTCATACCCAAGGTATTTGATTAGACAATCATGTCAAATCCAAAGTGTTTGAGTCTAACAGTCATGTCAATAATAAACGACACATCACCAGTCAAAACAGACATCGTGTGGCCAATTTTACCTAGATTTTGATCATTGTAGTAGTTGAAAAATCAAGGTTTATACTTTTTTCTACCGAAAAATATATTTTGCAATCTATTTTTTACCCAAAACATCCTAAAAATCAAAACAAATTCATTCATGGCCTCAAAAAAACACCTAGAAAACCAAACCCAACCCCCAACAAAAAAAAATAAACTCAAACAAAAATCTATTTTTTCACAAACTTTTAAGGTGCAAAAACACCTAATATAAACTCCCCGCATCAAATTAAATAATTTAACAAAAAAATCTTTTATTTTAGTAGCTTAAATCAATGTCAACAATAAACTTTTATTTTAAGCAACTCTTCTCTCTCCTCTTTTAACCAGTGATCAAAAAATAAAAATAAAAAATATATATACTAAAATAAAATAAATTTTTTTCAAGAAATTACAATTGTATAATTTACATGATTATTTAAGTTAAAAAAATCAAAGTGAATGTTTTTAAAACTAATAATGTCATCTATATCTGTATTTTTCATTTTAGTTCCTCTCTTTCAATCCGATCTTTTTATAAGAATTTAAAAACAATTGCTCCTTAAATAGAACTTAATTGTGTGAAAACAAAGACCAAATTAAATAAAAATTACACAATAACAAAAATACAATTAAAACCAGCGTTTTAGTATATAAGTAATGCTGGGGAAGGTACATTGATCACCCCTTAGTTTTACTGTATTTACAATAATCGATCCTGTTTCATGTTTTTCATCACATTTGACCACTCTGAAATTTTAATATCAGTTGTGGTTAACGTCATTTCAACTAAAACTACGGGTGGTGATTGTGTTAACGTAAATTATAGTATTTACCTAACATACATCAGAACGCAAGAGGTATAAGAATGCACGCACAAGCTCTCCTGCAGTAAATCTCCAGTACCACACGCCTTCCTCTTTCAAGGTCCTGCACGTATACTTTCAGTCATCATACACCCAATGAGAGACACGAGAACCTGCACCTCTCTCTTGGTGTTGTACAGCCATGTTTAAATCAAGCAATTGGATTTGTCTTTTTACCCAAGGGGGATCATTAGAACTCAACCAAAGAGCTTCACCAGTATCCTTGTGCTTGAAATCTGGAGACGCCGAGTTTTTCTTATTTTTCCTGTTATCCCACCATTCATGCGGGCTGGCGAAGAACACTTGCCACAAGTAAAGGTGGTTTTTGTGCCTTTCCTCTTCACAATGTTCTCCCGCTTTCCAATCAAGCAATTGAAGTTTTGTTTTGATCCACAGTGGATCATCTGGTCTCAACCACAGAGCATCACCACTAATCTTGTGCTTAAAATCAGGTAACTTTGAATTTTTCTTAAATTTCCTGTTATCCCACCACTCATGTGGGCTGCTGAAAAATGCTTTCCATAGGCAAAGATGGTTTTTGTCCTTTTCCACGCCAGTTCCAGCTGAATTTGTAAGAGATAAAAATGTATAAAGCATGGGAAGAGAGAACAAAATAAAATGAGAGAAACAAAGTTAAATCAGTCACTGCTAATCATCATATAAGAAACCATGGCCAGCCCAACCAAACAGCAAGTTCCTTAGTACCCCCACACTAATGCAGTCAGATCAGGTAACTTCATATATGTGTTTTGATTCTTAATCCCCACACACTAAGGCTGTCAGATCAGGAAACTTCATATGAGTGTGAATGTGTGTAGCTTAGTTGAATGTGCTAACATTAGCAGCTCAACAAATTAGTAGACAAAATAATAAATGAGCTAACAATAGATTCCAAGCTTTCAAGTGACAGACACCTAGATATGCCAAAGACTTGGAAGTCCTGTGTTAAGAAACAACCTAACTAAACCATCTCCGTTGTTAATTGAACTACAAGCCATTTGTAACCTTCAATGCAGCTGTGTATTGTGCAGCGGCCGGGTGAGTTGGGAGATAGGCTTTGCTTGAAAATAAGCTGCAATGCATGAAAGAAAAAATCATACCTCCTGAATATGGCTCCGTGTATTTTTGACAAGCACTTGATTCTGGTTCCTTGAATTTTAGGCAGGTCTCTGACTCTGGTTCCTCAGCGCTTTGGCAATCTGACCGTTGATTATGTTGTGCAATGTAACACAATTCATTCGCAATTATCTATACATGCATATAAAAACGAATAAATCATTCTGTACTCACATATGTAAGGGTGAGCGAGAGAGCGAGTGCACAGGTGTGTGACTGTGTTTGCTAATCTCTATGCTGACTCATCAAAGTGTTTAGAATAGAAATCTACCGGTATGGTTCAATCCCTTCAGAAACATCAAAATGTTTAATCCTGCCTGATATGATCAATTCAATATCAGTGGACAAAGATTTACAGAAAATTTCAAATTGATTCTTCACAACGTAATCAGAAAAACACATGTGAACGCTTAAAAACACCACCATCATCGTTCCTTTTAAACATTTAATTAAAGTGCACATTACTCCAACTTTACTCTGTTGTATCTGTGTTGATCTTCTTATACGCGGGGAAAAAAAAATTAGCCACTCCATAACTAATCATAAATCATTAACAGTTTCGTGCACTAATCAAAGGTTTAAATGATGTATCAAGGCAAACTAACAGTGAGTGTGGACACATCGAAAATCTAATACAATTCAAATTGCGAACCTTGTAACTGGAACTTGGATTTCCAGTCCTGTCAAAACTGATGTAAGATTCTAAATGACCCGAAACGTAGATAATATCGTTTGGCTTTACATGTTGAATGCACATTTTCGCCATTTCACACCAAGTCTCCACTAGAATCCTGTTCACAACACCTAACTCTTAGTTAAAGGGACACAAAATATGCTTAACAAGCAACGAACTTTCCATTAAAAGCTGACCTGAACCAGCGATTCGAATCATGTGGATCTCTTGCGTAGAGTAGAGTGTAACAACCAAATCCACCGCCTTTAGTTTTGTAGATTATCGGGGACCTGCCCACTGTACCGATAAATCTAACCAAATTCACCAAACTGGGTTTCCATTCTACGGTGGACGGCCGCTGGGTTGAGATGGTGTGTCGATAAACTGCGCTATCATTGATTTCGTCTAGCTCGTCTTCATCAGTAGAGGAATTCGAAAATCCAAGGTTTGCAGCAGACGATGAAGAGAAGGGAGCGAGTCTTTGAAGTGAAAATCGGGACAGGTTCCTAATCAGGAACCCGGTACGGTACGGCTTAATCATGCATTCAAAGTGTGATTAGAGCTATTAGGCGATGTGCTGTTTCTGGTTAGGTATTTTCCGAAGATGAAGAGGGGATTTTCAGGCGGTATTTGAAGGAAGGAGTTTGGCGGGGGGGGTTTCCGAGTGTACGGTTTAAAAACCCTAACTATTAGGGTTAATTATAACTACATGCTTAACTCGTATTTTGACGTGGGTAAGATATTTTTCTATCAAATATTGTCATGTTTATATATTTACAAGGTTTTTAAGTGAAAATTTGTGTATCTAATTAAATAAATAAAAAATTATATGTTAATAAATAAAAAAATAAATAATAATTAAAATTAAAAAAATTAAAAAATAAATATAAATTAAGATATTTAATTTTACAAGGTACGAAACTTAATCAGTTATATTTGTTAATTTTTTTATTAAAATAATATTTTTATTCAATAAAATGATAAAAAAATAGAAATATAAATTTAATTAATTAAATAAAAAAATATTATGTATTGCTACATATATTACAAATATTAATTAAAAATAAAAAAATATTCTAAAAAATAAAATTTACTTATATAAGAGATCAAAAAAATATAGGTAAATTATAAAAACTCTTGAAAAATAGAGAAGAGAACCATGTAAAAAAGGATTAGTTTTAAAAAATTATAAAAAAATATTTTTTTAAAAAAAGACTAAGGCAAGACAATTTCATCACAGCTCATGCTCGAGCTTGCCCTAGCAACCTACATCACTGGACTCTTGTTTTTTTTTTTTTTTCCTGCAACTGGGGAGGATAATATGTCAGTTGTTCAATTTTTTTGAAAAATAAATAATACGCTAATTGAAAAATCAAGATTTAAGTTCTTTTATATAAAAACTGTTTTTCAATCATTATCTTGACTCAAAACATTTTTGGTATCATTGTAAACGTATTAAATGCCTAAAAAATTCAAAAAAAAATTTAGAAATAAAAATCAACTCAAAATTAAAAATAAAAATAAACTCAAATATATTTTCTTTACATGTAAAAAAAAAACAGTTGATATAAACTTTACTCGGTAAATTAAATAACTTAACACAAATATTGATAATTTTGATAATGTAAATCAAAGAAAACAGTTGATATAAACTATATTGATAATTTTGATAATGTAAATCAATATGAATGATATTTTTTTTTTATCATCAAAATTCAGTAATTTTTCTCTCTCTTGTATCTTAACAAGAACTAAAAAATAAATAAAATAAATTTATATATCAAAATTAAACTCGAAAACGGGTAAGGCATATAAATTATATACTTTATATTATTTTAAAATTAAAGAACCAAAGTATATTTTTTCTGAAATTTATCAATATCTAATATATTCTTTCGTTTCAATATTTATTCTTATAATTTTAACAATGACTCAAAAATCATGAGCAACTGGTTTTGAATTAGAATTAAATAGTTTAAAATACGTTTTAATGTTTAGTATAATTTAAAGTGGAAGAAAGAGGGATTGGAGTTTGGGCTTTTGGAGATTTAGGGTTAGGGGGCTATTGCCTGCGGCTTGAATTTAGGTAAAAATGACGGGCCGTTGTAGGCCCATATTTGTTGTAATTTTTTATAAGCACCTCTAACACAGTTTTTTGTTTTTTAAAAATAAAAATCGATTACAATAGTTTTATCCATGAATCTTTTATTTTATTTTTTGTATGACAACATATAGAAGCATTAAGATTATGTTATCTATAAATATTTTATTCGCAGGATTTTTAATTTCAATTATAAGTGATAGAAATTAACAATGTAGGCATGAATAAGAACTGCATAAGTTCTTTTTGTTAATATGTTTAATTAAAGAAATTATCAAATGAATAGTATAAATTTTATGAATATTTTTCTTTGAATGATTTAAAATTAAACTAATACAATAACTAAACAACTTGCAAGAAAAACTAAGAATCTAGTTTATTTATGAATTTTGATATCACTTTTATTATATTTGAATTTTAATAATATTATTGGTTTTTATTGACTAGTTTTTAAGCATTTTAGTTTATCTTAAGAGTCTATTTATTTTTGTGTTTTAAAAATATTTTTAAAGAAAATTAAATTTTTTTATTTACTTTAAATTAATATATTTTTAATATTTTTAAATTATTTTGATATGTTGATATCAAAAATAATTTTTAAAAAATAAAATAATATTACTAATATATATTTTAATACAAAAAATTATTTAAAAAATAATTATAATTAGACTTCCAAACAAACAAGCTCCCATGTTTAGTTTCATGATTTTGTTCACATGATGTTTACATGGGCACGGCACTGACGTGTAGGATTCAAAATCCTCTCGTGTTATCCCATGATATTAAATGATGGATGAGGAATGGAATTTGTTAAAACTAGGTGGTGCACGACTTAATTTATTTCATTTTTTTATGGCATGTAAAAATAACTAGAGTATTTTTCAAAAATATTTTTTATTTTAAAATATTGTTTTCACATTATTTTTTACATGGAAAAGTCAAAATCATTTAAAAAAATAATTTAATATTTTTTAAAAAACAAATATATTCTTGAAACAAAACTAAACACAGTTTGAAACGATCAACCAAACACCTACTCGGGACCAGCAACAGTGCAATTAGATTCCAAGATTCAAAGGCACATCCCTAAATTACTTGATACATTTCAATGTAGTGAGCTGGCTTTTATTTATTTATTATAATTTCAACAATATTAGTCTTTCAACTACCATGAATCTTTCCACACTATCCCTCCAGATAATGATTTTTTTCTTTTTTAGAAAAGTAAAGGGACGAGAATCCACGGGGTATATTTGACTTTAGGACTTAATTTTTATCAACAGGGGCGGCAAAAAGGGTTATAAAGCAATTATTTCTTTATAGTTTTATTGTCGATGAAGAAACTATACAAGTAGTTAACAAATAATCTAGATCATGAATAACCTCCATTAAATAATATTATTGATGAAGTTCTGGAAATCCAACTGGTTTACTAGTTTAGTTATAGAATATCAGATTGAATAATTAGTTAATTAATTAACTACTCATGACAATTTTTTTCTATTCCTTCCTGTTAAGATAATTAATAATTTATATTTGGTGTTTAGCAATAAAAATAACTTTTTACTATTTGCAAAAAATTTTTTTGGTAAAGATAAGAATTCTCCAATACTTAAATAAATATTTTTTTATAGATAAAAAATATAAGAATATTCTATAAAAAGATGTTTTGAAAATATACATGCAATAAATAATAAAAATTATAAATTTTTATTTTAAAAGTCTCATTGTATATTAACACTCACAAGTCTTATAATATATTTTACCTCACTTTGTTAAGCATACAAAAAAAAATTACTCTCTTAAGTGTTTCAAGGAAGGATTCGCATTCCTATAACATATAAGGGGCTTGATATACTATCAAATTCATTAGTATCTGGCCATCAGACCTCGCGTATTGGGACTTGGTAGACTGCTGATCTAGCTTAGCTAGACTTGGACACTATTATCCCCCACTCGAGGCATGCCCAAGAAAAAAAGATAGTGTGAGGTTTTTTAAATCCTTTAAAAATAGATTTATCAAATTTTAGTTGATTTCAACTTAAATTTAAATTTTAAATGATATCTTGATTGATTGATTAATTAAATCTTAGTGGCATTAATTTACAGAGAGATTTAAATGCATGTGATTTGCAGAGAAATGCCATGAAAGGACTCGAGGAACTAGCAAAAGCAAATCCTGGAACAACCACCTTTAATTTTGCCGCAGTGCATGACAGACTTTGTCAACCATATAGTTTTTTTTTAATTCAAGATCATATAATAAGAATTCACTCTCAATTAATTACTTAAAGAAACAAGGAATTAATTACTATTAAGAAGTAAAATAAATTAAAGTCTATCCCCCCCTCCTCAAGTCCATCTCTCTCAAAGTCCATTTCGTGAGTCACATCGGCCGCTGACCTTTGTAGTTGCAGAAATGCCGTGTTTACCGATCCCAATTCCCCAGCACACTGCAAGCCAAGCTCGGTTACTTGAGTTTCAACCTTGTGTTTTCGATGTTTGACTTATGTTTGGTTTTATATATGTTATTAATCTGGACTCGAATACAAAATAAAATTGTTACATGTATCTCGATGGCTTATTAAAAAAGACCCAGTCATTGAATTATCTAATTAATTTACTGGTCAAACAATATTGTTTTTTTTTAAAAAATCATTTTAAATTTGACATGGATAGATCAACTCAACTATCAATTAAATTCAGAATATTTTTTTTTAAAACCTATCATTCAAATCAACACAAGTTTGATAATGACGATCACTATAATTCATTATTCTCGAAATATTAATTTGAATATGAATGTCTTGTTTAAAGTTTACTGAAAGAGTAATTGTTTTTACAGTTAAACTTGCTTTTTAAAATTAAAATAATATTAAATTTATATTTCTCAATTATTTTGACATATTAATAAAAATATCTAAAAAAATATTTTATATTTTTAATTATTATATAAAATATAATGTTTGAGAGCATAATAACAATTATTTTTAAAAAATTTTATTTAAAAATATATTAAAATAATTTTGTTAAAATCAAAGATGAAAATAATAGGAAAAACATTAAAAAATAAAATAAAAAATTAATTTTAAATTAATAAAAAAAGCTCAGCCGAACATATTTTATGTACGGGCAGACTGACTTTTAAAACCCAAAACAGAGTTCAAACTGGGCAAGGCAGATCCTAATATCCCCGCAAATCCTCAGTTTTGACAAAAAGGTAGGTGTAGCAACAACGACGAAGTAACCTAAGAAGTGCCCCTCTCCGAGAGGCTTTACAGCTAGCAACGATTACTACATCGGTCACATGAAGCTTTCAGACACTTTCATTTCCTTCCCCTCCAAGCCTCCCAAATGCCTTTCTTTTCAAAAACTCCCTCCTCTTCCATGCCATCATCCCCCTCTGTTTCTTCGACAAAAGATAACAGCAACAACTGCAGTAACACTGCTGGTACTTCCTGGATTAACCGTGGCCAATCTTTTATGCTCAAGAAGATGGAACGGCAGAGGAAGCCTAGGCCTGTCAGTGAGCAGGACCTTGGCTGGAATTTAACCGACCGACCAAATTCGCCGT